CAGCGGGTAAACAAAATCTTTGATGATTTCATGATTAAATTAGAATGTGCTTTATAATAAAAGAAAATGCAGTACCAAAAGGCAAAGGTGTATAAGAGAAAGCGAGAGAGGGAAAAAAATAATTTTGCTGTTCAGAGATGGAAGAATGATCAACTATTTATATTCAGCAAATTAACTATATGAACATATGCGTATAAGAATCACTGTAGATATTAATTTCCACAGAGGGTATCACTATCAGTGGCTCAAACTGGAAAGTTAGGCACACGATTGAGAATCCTATTTGAAATATATAAGATTGACAATTGGAAAGAGGAGGAGAACCAAGAAATAGCCTGGAAAATATATAGGATCATTGAATCGAAGTTGCATAGGAAACTTCCCTGTATTAACTTGACTCAAATGACATCTTAGGTAAATATGGTATCATTTTAGGAAAATTTCGGGGCCTGCCCACGTTGCTAAATTGCTATGGCAAACGACTTTCCGTACTCTGATTTGAATTTGTTAAAGAATCACTTAATTTTTTGAGATTGAGTTTTTGATTGCTTCGCCTACCTTATTCGTCTATCTTGACTTTGAGTTTTTCAATTTGGAAGTCCTAATATTTGGCTGGTGTTTGGCCCTCTTGCAACGAGGGATTGATTGTTATATCTTTCATTAAGGAATTAGATAAGAAGAAATTAAGTCCCAATTTTTTTTTCTAAGGTGCAGCCGTTGGTAATGTTTTCTCTCCCCCTATATAATCGAAATTAGTGGTATATGTAATGGAAAATTTAGCGCCCACTGTTCGGCAAAATTCAACTACTGCGGTTTTGTACTTGTTTTTCATGAGGAAAAATTTTTTAGCTCAGAAGATTCAAAGGTTCACCTTGAGTCAAACAATTCAAGATATCTTTTACCTCTTTGTTTTTGTTATATTTTACACATCAATTCAAACAGGGGGTCACTGGCACAGCTAACAAACTACAGTAGAACAAAATGGGTTATATACAAAGCACTATAAATAAACTTGAAAGATGAAATATTACAGGCCTCATTAATCCTTTTGAAACATTAATAATACACATGATTTTACAGCATTACGCTTCTTAATCAATACAATTATAATATGTTGATACAAAACTATTATTGATCAAAGTGATATTGCTTGATCAAAGTCAGCTAGACTTGTTGCAGCGAAGATAGCAATTGTTGCTCAGAGTGTGAAGACGATGGTTGGCAATTTCAGGGCTGTGTCAATGAGGGGAACTTACTATTGATATCAGATTCAATTCGTAGTTTTGAGCCTGCTGGTGAGCCTTTTCCACATTGGCAAATTTCTAGGCTTCTAACAAAATCAACTTTGGGAAAGTTATGATTTACATGATTGATCATTTTCTTCATCATCCCTTGCCAATTATGCTTTACATGCTTTAACGAACTTGGTGGAAAAGAAGGGAAAGGAGAAAAGTATATATGTGACAAAACTAGCTAGAAAAGCGAAACCTGCAAAAGAGCAGAACAATATCTGATTGTTTAATGCCATTAAGGCTAGACATGATTCTCCAATTTGGTAAGAAAAGCACATGTTCTGGACCCCAAATAGACATATATAGTACTTAAAGAAAAATGTACTGTATATTAGAACTGCAACTATTGTAAGCGGAAAGCAAAGAAACTACTGTTTTCATTTCCTCATGATTTGATTGCTGTTCCTGCTGGAGATTTATCACACTTGAGCACATAGGAGCATACCAAAAAGCTCATACATATATGTTGACACTACTGGAGCTCAAAAGATTTCAAATTTCTTAGTGATATGGGATTTTTACTCAATATGAATCTTATCTCAACAATCTCTTCAATTTACTTGTAAATTCTAATTAAGTCCCACATCGGCTCTCTCATGTAAGTATATCCTATCAACACTTCTTTTGAGCTAAGTAACCTCAAGTCTTGGATGGTCTCAATGCACCTTAAGCCCAGCATTCAACTTTGCCTTTTGTGAGTCTAGGTTGTCTCAATACCTCTTAAGCTTAATTGATGCTTGGACTTAATCATAGCACATAACTTTACTACCTAGGTTGTCTCAATGCCCCTTAAGCTTGAACTCAATCATAGCACATAACCTTGCTACTTAAGTTATCTCAGTGTCTCTCAAGCTTGCAATCAATCACAGTTTGAACTCAATCTTGCACTCCATCAAAGTTATCTCAATGCCTCTCAAGCTTGCGATCAATCATAGTCTGAACTTAATCTTGCACTCCATCATAGGTTGACTCAGTATATTGCCCACTTGAGTATTTCGCTCCTGCATATTCATTGTAATCTAAGTCGAACCTTTAATTCTGATATCAATTGTTGAAAAAATTTGCCACTTAGAGCATATAGAAGTACATCAAAGAGCCTATACATATATGTTGGACACCACTTAAGTCCAAAAGTTTAATCTATTGTATTCTTGGTTCCTCTATGTATATATGAATATCTCATTCATATTTTCAAATGATATGAAATTCTTTATTTACATGTGAACTTTATCTCAATAATTTTTGGAAATTGATTTCTCGTCCTACTGAATTTATTCTATAAGCCACCTTACGGACAATAAATTAGATAATCACCTTCTATGGCCTTGTAATTCTCAATTTAATCTTTCCCATCTCATCTATGTCTTCCCTAGTTTCCTTCTGCAAGGAGGAGCACTCTTTCGCAACAATGGTTGGAACAAATTTGATAAATATGCAGCACCAGATGCAAGCTAATTCAGTTCAGAGCACGGAAAGTGCAGTAACAGCAGGCATTAGACCATGGAAGGGTCAAAGTAACTGGCGTCATTGGCATCACCTAAAGAATGTATTTAAGATTACTGAACACATCAACAAATGAAATTTCCATGCTTTGCGAAATCTTTTCAATACTATCTTCTATACTAATCCTTTATGGAGATCATTGTAATTAATCAACTACTAATTATAACAATGCGAAGCCAACAGTGCATAAAATGATTTGCATGAACCTTTAACAGGTGCAAGGGATTCTAAACATCTTTGGATGGGAGTTTCTGTTGCCCACTGGAGCAAACGTGGCAAGAAATTTCAGAAATTTTCCCTTGTAAATGCGATGAATGGTACCAACTTCACACGCTATGTCAAACTTGTGGATACATCATCTTCACACGCTATGTCACACGCTATGTCAACTTCACACGAATGTCGCAAGTGCTGGGAGATATACCATCATCTTCTGGGGTATGCATTGATTGTTCTTAGCATATATAGCAAACATATTTAAAGGGATCAGCAATATCCGAAGTCATGCTGCGGAGAAATGGAGGTGGGATTACGTGGGAATGCTTATAATCTTAGCTTCAAACTACCGTAGCATATAGATGGATCAAGTCCAGAAATCAAGAGCAGATGGCATATGCTGAGAGCGAAATATATGCTTCAGAACAAATCCTAGTCTCCTTTTTGTGTTCTCTTTTTTAATTGCGGTCTGATTAAAAACTGCGAAGACTCTAAAACAGCAAAAGTGGAAAACCAGAAACAGGCGTTCATCAGTCTTGCAGAAGTAGTGAAGTTTGTGATATTAAAATTAAGAATTTAATAATTTATTAAAAAAATACTTGATTGTTGATTATATTCTATCCAGAAATAATCCTTTGATTAATTTGTAACTTTATTCAATGCTATAAGAAGTGGTAATAGGTGTCACTAACTGTAACTCAAAGAAGAAAATTACAAGTCGATTAGATGTTTCTCTTCAAATTAACTAAAATTACTTTATAAACATTTTATAAAATCCAAAGAAAAAGTCCCAAAACAAGAATTATTAAGAGAAATCAACATGGAATGAAAATTTAAACTCAAAAAGGCTAACTGTTGAGGTTTTAGGAATAAATTAATTGTTTCACAAAAAAAAAAAATTTAATTGTTAATTTATTTAAATACAAAAAATTAGTATTAATCTTTTGAAATGAACATAATATGTGAACCCACGTGGTCTCCTCCAATCACTATGTACCGAAGGAAAAAAAATGCAATTAAAAAAAATTAGATTAAAGTACTAATTTCTTTATCTTTTAATATGTGAATTTCTGACAAAGTAAGAAAACCGGGCATAAAAAATTTGAAAATAAAAATCCGAAACGCAGCGTATCATCTCTCAATCATCAAACGCAACGTCTAGCCTGATGCTGACTCTGATCAGAGCAAAAGCAGAAAAAGACAAAGTTAATATTAAAAAAATTCTTCAATTATTTATTTTTTAAATGAATTTATATTTTTATTATATTTAAATCAATTTTTAATTTTTTGTTGTATTTAAATAAGTTTTAATTTTAAATATGAGATTGATTTATGATAAATTTTTATTTAAGTACAAAATAAATGTTAAAGATTTATTTGAATATAAATTAAAATTTAAAATTTTATTTTGATAAAAATAAAAATTAATAAATTATTTAAATAAAAAAATATAACAATTTATCTAAAAAAAAATTAAAGTTTAGAAGTTTTTTTATCATTTTAACTAAAAGACAACATAGAAATAGAAATATTTAAAATTTGATTTTAATCTAATTTATTTATCAAATCAATTTAATTTGATTAATTGATCAATTATAAAATTACTTTCAATTAATTTTTAAAAATAATTTTAAAAAATTTTTTGACTTTCAATTAATTAAATTCAAAACTTAAATTAACCAAAATTTTGATCGAAATATAATAAAATTATATATATAATTAAAAATATATGAAATTATTTATTTTATTTTAACTATTAAAATTTTTAATTAATATATTAATATTTGAATATTTTATTAAATAATTTTATTTAATTTATTTTAAATACAAAAGATTACAAATTTAAAATATAATTTAATTAATATATTTTATTATTGAGATAAAAAAATTTAACTGAACAAATGGAATTAATTTTAATTATTAATTTTTGAAATTAATAAATTTGATTCCTAAAATAAAATGACATAATTTCATTAATTTAATCTTAAATAATTTCTTTTGAAATTAATTGAACCACCGAAGGAACACTCTCTAAGAAACGCGATCACCTGCGCTGATGAACAATCCAGAAGAGAGCAAGCCCAACAGCCCACAACAACAACAACAATAGATGGCAACCTCATCGGCGGCAGTAGAAGGAGTGGCGGCGGCAGCCCTCCGGTCTGTGCTCCAGAGAGTCGACCAGGCCGCCGAGCGGTCGGGTCGTGAATCGCTGCGGATCCGTATGGTTGCCGTCAGCAAAACGAAACCCGTCTCTGTCATTCGCCAAGTCTACGACGCCGGTCATCGCTATTTCGGCGAAAACTACGTCCAAGAACTTGTCGAAAAAGCCCTTCAGGTTCTTTTACATTTGCATAAAAGCATCGAATTTGTCAATTGTTGTTTGATACAAAGGGTAATTTTCAGTTATTCCATTTTAGAAAGCAAAGGCACCAAAAGTGATAAACATTTTGTAATTAAAAACCCAACGTTTGATTGCAGCTTCCGGATGACATAGAGTGGCATTTTATTGGGAATTTACAGAGCAATAAAGTGAAGCCTTTGATTGGTAAGAAAAACTTGTTCATCAAATTCAATATAGACCCTTTTTTCTAGTAACTAAAACGGCTAGAAGATTAGTACTACTTTCTTTGGGGAGTAACAATATGTTTTTGATTTGGGACTTGTGATCCGAATGTCATGTTGACATCTTAGTCTATTACTACTTTAAAGCTCATGGATGTTTGAAACAGAACTCCTACTTCACTTGGTTTTGCTTATAGTTCTGGAGAGAAATGCGTGTTGTGAATTAACTTGTTAATCATTGTTATGCAGCTGGTGTGCCAAACCTTGCGATGGTGGAAACTGTAGATGATGAGAAGGTCAGTTAAGGAGTTATAAAGTCTTCTATTTTTATTTTCCATTAGGAAATGTTTTGAGTTGCTATAAATATTCTCTTTGTTTGACGACTACAACCTTTGAAAAGAACTTACTAAGCTTGGATGTGTTAACAGTAACTCAAATAGAGACAACCTTATATTAATTTATAGCTAATTTTCAATCTAATTTTAGATAGAAATATCGATATGATTTTTTTCGTTATATCAACAATAATTATGTCATAACAATTGATTGATAATGTCAAGAATATCCATGATATTGTGGTCAAATATTTGTGCTTTTTCTTATTAGTCATCACTGAGCACCTTTCTTGGTTTGGGCCAGATTGCAAATCATCTTAATCGTGCAGTTGAAAGCCTTGGAAGAAAGCCTTTAAAAGTTTTAGTCCAGGTCAATACCAGTGGAGAGGAATGTAAGTTTATTTTATCATGTTACCACCAAATATAATGTTTTTAGTTGAGTTGTGTTAAGGCTTGCACATTCTAGCTTATTCTCATGACTTGTTATTAAATTTAAAAGATAAAACTGGTCAGGCTCCTTTAGATTTCAGTTCCATTCTACAGTCTATCTATATGGCACTAGAAATAGTAGAAAAAGAACCCAGCTTATTGGGGCTGAATATGCTTTGGGATTAGGTCAACTATATTTGCCAACAAATATATTACTTTCCTGTGGTTACTATGCTAAGGCTTTTTTTCTAACCACTCACTTCAAATTCAGTTTTGAGATTATTGCCCTGCATCATGTTTTTGCAGCAAAATCTGGTGTTGAGCCTTCGGGTTGTGTGGAACTTGCAAAACATGTTAGTCTGAGTTGCCCGAACCTTCGATTTTGTGGATTGATGACAATTGGGATGCTTGATTATACATCAACACCAGAGAACTTTAAGGTGGTTGCGTTTCCTATTTTGGTTTTATCTTTACTTCTTTTGTTTCTTTATTTTTCGTACAGGACTTTCTTTCTTTTTTCTTACAAGACTATTTGATATTGCCAGACATTAGCGAATTGCAGAAGTGAGGTCTGCAAGGCTCTTGGAATACCAGAAGAGCAATGTGAACTATCAATGGGAATGTCCGGTGACTTTGAGCTAGCTGTAAGGATTATTTTCATATTACTATCTAGAAAAACGAAAACATGGATTTGTAAGAAGTTAAATTTTGGATTTGTCTTCACTTGAGCTCTAAAATTTTATACAAATGTTTCTGCCCTTACCTTGTCTTACGCACAAAGCCATGTATCCGTTGTGTGTCATTTTTTCAACAGCCAAACGCAAGAAGTAGCATTAAATTCTTTTAATACATAAGAGACTGTTTATCTAATGGATTATCTCATCGTTTTTGCAGATTGAAATGGGCAGTACCAATGTCAGGGTTGGATCAACCATCTTTGGGGCAAGGGAATATCCAAAGAAAAAATGAGACTAGATTACTAATTACATATGGGCACATTCCTTTTTGTCGTCATTGCATTGTTATTATAAGAGTTGTACTCAATCCTCAGGCTGTAACGCTTTTACGGTTGGTTGATGTGGTTCAATCTCTGGCCTGTATGGTGGATGTAACTATGTACTTTAGTATTTGGAAAAAGAGAAGAAATACACTGATGCATCTTGGAATCTATGGAACTTATTTGTTGCATCCAAATGATGCTAATAAAAATGTATTTGATCTGAAATTAAATTCTTACGATTCAATTGGCCAATTAATCCGTTGGCTTTAGGGTAGCGTTTACCTTGCTACATAATAAACCTAGTATGAGCTATGAGCTAGAAATGCAAGCGATAAAAAGTAGTATTTGAAAATTTTTTCCGACATTCAACTTTGAGTGACTCTCCAAAGATAGGATGAGCGATGAACAAAATAAGACCCACTACTACCAGAAGCACCAAATCGTTCAATGCCATCATTAACCGCCTTTCTTCACAAGGGTCCTACTATGAAGTGCTCTTCACTTACACATCCATGTTCAACTCAAACACTGCTCCTGATTCCTTCACATTTCCCAGCCTCCTCAAAGCCTGCACTTCTCTAAACCTCTTCTCCCTTGGTCTTTCAATACACCAACACATTATACTTAGTGGGTTTTCTTCAGATTCTTACACTGCATCTTCTTTGATAAACTTTTACGCAAAATTCGGCCACACAAAAAACGCTCACAAGGTTTTCGATAAAACGCCTAATAGAGATGTTGTTCCCTGGACTGCCATTATTGGCTGCTATTGTCGTGGTGGCAACGTGGACAATGCTTTTTCTATGTATAATGAAATGCGATGCAATGGGGTTGAGCCTAGTCCGGTTACTTTCTTATGCTTGCTCTCTGGACCATTGGAGGCTGCCCATGTGCAGGCTCTGCATGGCTGTGCGGTTTTATATGGCTTTGAATCCGATATTACTTTGGGGAATTCGTTATTAAATGCGTATACCGAATGTGGGAGCATTGCGGAAGCAAGAGATTTGTTTGAATTGATGGACCAAAGAGATAAAATTTCATGGAATTCTTTGATTTCAGGTTATGCTCAGTTAGGGAATGTTGAAGAAATTTTGCAACTTTTATATAGGATGAAGATAGAAAGTATGGACCCTGATCAGCAAACTTTTGGTTTTGTGGTTTCTGCTGTTTCAGCACAGAGTAAGCTTGATTTAGGAAGGGTGGTGCATGGGCAGATTTTAAGAAGTGGGTTTGATTCAGATGCACATGTTGAAACAGCACTTATAATTATGTATTTAAAATGTGGGAATGGTGATGGTGCACATCGGATTTTTGCAGGGGTATCAGAAAAAGACGCAGTTATATGGACAGCAATGATCTCTGGGCTAGTGCAAAATAATTGTGCGGACAAGGCACTGACAGTTTTCCAGCAGATGTTAAAATCGAGGGTAGAGCCATCTACTGCCACCATAACTAGTGTTCTTGCTGCATGTGCACAGTTGGGTGCTTTTGATTTAGGGACCTCCATCCATGCTTACATTTTAAGGCAGGGATTTACAATAGATATTCCAGCCCAAAACTCTCTTGTTACCGTGTATGCCAAGTGTGGTCGTTTGGAACAAAGTTGTGCAGTTTTTGAGAGGATGGATGAAAAGGATTTGGTTTCTTGGAATGCAATAATTGCCGGATGTGCCCAAAATGGCCATTTACCTAAGGCCCTGTTCTTCTTCAATAAAATGAGGTTAACCCTTCAAAAACCTGATTCATTAACTGTTATCACCCTGCTTCAAGCCTCTGCATCTACTGGGGCTCTCCATCAGGGAAAGCGGTTACACAACTTTATAATTAGAAGTTGTCTTAGGCCATGCATCTTGGTGGATACAGCTCTGGTGGACATGTACTGTAAATGTGGTGATTTAGACACTGCTGTTAAGTGCTTTAGGGTCATGTTGCAATGGGACTTAATCGCATGGAGCACAATCATTGCAGGATATGGTAGTCATGGCAAAGGGGAGACCGCTTTAAGCATGTATTTTGAGCTTCTGCACTCTGGAATGGAACCAAATAAGGTGATTTTCCTTTCAATTCTCTCTGCCTGCAGTCACAATGGGCTTGTTGACCAGGGTCTGAGCATATTCCAGTCAATGTCTATAGATTTTGGGGTTCAACCAGAACTTGAGCACCGTGCTTGCATTGTTGATCTCCTTTGTCGAGCTGGAAGGGTGGAGGAAGCTTATAACTTCTATAAGGGGAACTTTTCAGAGCCTGCTGTCGATGTTTTGAGCATGCTCCTTGATGCCTGTCGGGCAAATGATAACCTGGAACTTGGTGATGTTATTGCCCAAGATATTATATTGTTGAGGCCTGCAAGTGCTGGAAACTATGTTCAGATTGCACACTGTTATGCTTCAATGAGTAGATGGAATGGCATGGGGGAGGCATGGACCCAAATGAGGTCTCTCGGCTTGAGAAAACTCCCTGGATGGAGTTTTATTGACCTGCATGGTACAGTTACCACATTTTTCTCGGGTCAAAATGCTCATCCGAAACATGAAGAAATAGTTGCAACACTGAAAACTTTGTGGTGGGAAATGAGTGAAGTGGTTGTGAACTTTAAGATGAAGGAAATTCATGATATATTCTTAGATGAATGGTTTTAATATGAAACACCGCCAAGTATTTAAAGATAAAGTGGTGGTAGAGAGGTGCACAAACAAGACGTTATCTATTCTGCTTCCTTTGAATATCTCGGTGTGCAAAATAGACCCCAGATCAACAGATTAACTTTGGAATAGGGGAGGGAACGCTACAAGACATCACGTTCATGGTTTTGATTTCATTATTTCAGATGAAATCGGCATTATAAGTCAATTTCATACAATGGCAGATGTGCCAAATTGCCAATAAAAAGGTAAAGTTCAGAGGCAGTCATGGTGTACTTTTATCAACACACACGTTGGTTTCTAGCAATATATCCAATTGGTCAAAACTGAATAAGAACAAGAGAGATGAAGAATCATAAAAGAGAAAACGCAATAAAAAGAGCTGAAAACGTAAGCTGAAACACCAAATCTTTATATTGACTTCCAATAAAGCTTGTCTTGTTTACTTAACTGAGCAGTTATATTTCAACTTGTTTGTTTGTTTGTTTGTTTGTTTTTTGCAGGATGGAGCAAAAGTAAATTCACAGATCAGTTCTTTATTCCCTGGCTGGCCCTGTACATGCTGCTTTTGGACTTAACCGATTACATATATATATATATATATATATATATATATATATATATATCATTGTCACTATTGGAGAAGCTGCGCTGCTAGTTTCTTTTGGAGCCCTTTGGTTTCAAATTTCTCAGCAGATTCCCTTCCTTCCATTATCTATGTATTCCACCAACGAAAAGACTCTAGTTTTGATAGTTTTGATAACCACTACCATAGAGATGTTTTAATGGGAAAGGGCTTTTTCACTATTGATTCAAGACTTTTCACCGGATCTACGCACTTCACCCATAGACAACGTGAAAATTTTTTCCATTTATTTTCTTCTGCGTTTGTTAAGCTAATCTTCATCAAATGTTCTTACCGAAGAGAAAGGTGAAGTTAAGGAGTACATGCAACCAAGTAAACTAAGATAATTAGCCATACTCAGTAGCAAGTGGCAAGAGTAAAATGCAATAGAATGGTGTCCGCGCGTTTTGCGGGTAAACCTGACAGTCTGCGCCTTTAGCGGGTCCTGACTATTTGTATCGTGTAAACAATAAAACTTCGTGTACCTAAAATTTAAAGTTTAACAAAAATTAAAAAACTTATGAATTTTGCTAAAATTTTTATTCCTGTCATCTTCATCTCCTTTTTTGTACAAATTTTATTTTGTGTTTTGAATTGCTTATTCTAGTTGCAGGTAAAAATTTTTTGTTTTGTCATATATATTCAACAATTTTCTCCAAAATTTATCAAATTCAAAAAAATGAGAATGACAAATTGATACCTTAATTCGTCCCTTTTCTTATAAAATTAATCTAAAAATATCAAAAATGAAAAAAAAATAAAAGATAAAAAAACTAAAAAACAACTAAAAATGTGTTTTAAAAAACTAACATAGAGTGTTACATTAACATCTAATACTGAGTTAAAAAATAAATATTTTAAACTAAGGTATAAAATTATTTTATTAATATAATACATATATATATAACTAACTAAATAAAAAAATATATACCTTTACATACACATCAAAATAGGTTAAGACAAAGTTATAAATACACTTTCAACTCGTCTCATTTTTTCTCAAAATAAAAAATGAAAAAAAATGAGTTAAAAGAGGGTGCCACATGACATTTATATTGAATTTAAAATATTAATTTTTTAAATTAAAATATCAAATAATAACTTTATTAATATAAAATACATAGATAAATATAAAATTAACTTAATAAGAATATATATATATATATATATACTTTTACATATACTTTGAAATTAGTCTGGATAAAACATTATAAACATATTTCTACTCTAATCTAGTATATTATAACAAACTTGACCCATCCCAACTTTATCCCAAATTTTTAAAAAGAAAAAAATTGTCCTCTATCAAATCAAGATAAATCAAAATCTATCGGATACGAATTGTTTAAGCATTTTTATCAATCATCTCATTTGTTGTAAAATTTATCTAATTAAAAAATATAAAACAGGTCACAAAAGACCAAAAAAAAAAGTCAAATTGAATACCACATGGACATTTTCATTGACCTCATTTTTTAACAAAATTAATTTAGTAAAAAAAAAGCATAAAAATAAAAATCAAAACAGAAGGAAAAAATAAAAATCAAAAATGAAAATAAAAAAGAAAAAAAAAAGTCCACTTATGTTCTATGTGGACATTTCAATTGAGTTTAAAACATTAATTTTTTAAGTTAATATATTAAATAATAACTTTATAATAAAAACTCTCAAAAAGGAAAAATAAACAAAAATAAAGACAAAAAATAAAAAATAAAAAATAAAAAATAGATCATTTAGGTACAATGTTCATATTCAAATTGAATTTAATATATTAATATCTTAAATTAAGGTAAAAATAATAACTTTATTAGTATAATATATATAAATAAATATAAAATTCAATAGATAATAAAATATATTTTTATGTATACCATGAGATGGCTTGACACAAAGCATCCTAAGTCTGTTTTTCATGAATCTCTACTTTCTATAAAAGGTCTACCTAACTTAATTCGATATCAATTTTTTATAAAAATACTCGTGTCAAATTGAAGTGGATAAAAATCTATTGGATATTGATTATTTTGTTATCTTCGTTGATCGGCTCATTTTATTATAAAATTGATCTAATTAAAAAACATAAAAATAAAACTCAAAAAAATATGAAAGAAAATAAACAAATTTGTGTGTTATGTGGATACTTCCATTAGATTATTTTCTTACAAAATTTATCTAATAAAAGAAAAATAAATGAAAACAAGAAACAACAAAAAAATTAAAAACAAAAAAAGGGGAAAAATCCTTATCGAATCTAGTCAAATCAAAATTTATCATATATAAATTATTTTACCATCCTTACTCATCTACTCTATTTTATTGAAAATTTTTAAAATAAAAACAAAAAACTTCAACTTAAATTTTAGAATGAAAAAAATCTTCAGCCCAATCTTGAACTTTTTAAAATTTGACACATATTAGATCAAACCAACCAATAGAAATCCATAAGATATGAGTTCTTTTGTCTTTCCTACATCCATTGATTTTTTTTCTTACAAAATTTAAAAAGTTAATTTTTTTAAAAAGCAAACAAAATGATGGAAAAAAAAAGTTAAATGGAGATGGCACATAAAGTATCAAATAATAATTTTATTAATATAATACATATATATAAATATAAAATTAAATGAATAATAAAACATATTTATTTATATCATGGTGACACGAAACACCTATCTTATTTGATCTTGCTTTTTGAAAAAAAAAATTGATATGTCCTCAAATTAAAAATAACATACTTAATGAATCCGTACGAATTAAAACACATAAGATACGGGTTGTTTTGTTATATATACTTTTATTGACATTTTTCTTCAAATATTTATTCATCAATTTCTTTTGATGCAAGAATTATCTAATTAAAAAATAAAAAATAGTGTAAAAAAAAAAGATGAAATAGGGTGTCATGAGTGCACATTCATTTGCCTTTTTTTTCAAAAACATGATCTAATTTCTAAAAAAGAAAGGAAAAATTTTTTAAAGGAAACAATTAAAAGCAAAATAAAAAAATTTAAGTTGTCACGTAATATCAGCAATGAAGAGTTTTTTTGAGAAATTTACTTTAAGAAATTTTTTAAAAAATTAAAAATAAAGAAAAAAAATTAAATCCGAATTTGACATGACACCTTTGCTAATATCATATTCTTTAAAAAAGATCAAATTAAGAAAGGAAAATAACGAAAATTATATATATTAAATAATAATATTAAATGGATTTCATATTTAAAAAAATTTAGGCTCTTTTTGGTTTGAAAAATATTTTTTGTTTTTATTTTCTTTTTTTTTAAATGTATTTGACAAACAAAAATAAAAATTGTTTTCTAAAAATGCAAAAATAAGTAAATAAATAAAATATTCAATGATATTACTATTAATGACATCTAATTATAAATACAATACATATTTATTAATTAATGACATTAAAAGGTGTTCAAATATAGTAACTTAGAAAATACAAGGAAAAAAATAAATATCTATTAATTTCACAATTGAAAATAACTTTTTTTTTGTTTTCATATTTCAACCTATTTTCATTTTTGTCTTTTAAAAATTTATTTTTATTTTCAATTATCAAATACATCTTCACTCTTTTTTTTCATTTTAAAAAAAAATGAAAATAAAAAATGGCTCTATTTTCTAAAAACAAACATTACCTTAATTTTTTAAAAATATTTATTAAATATTAAAAAAAGTAAATAGAAAAAGATAAAAATGAAAAAATGAAAGAAAAATCAAATATATGACTAACATATCTTTAATATTAAATGGTTGTCATGAAAAAATAAAATTTAAAATTTTATTAAATATCTAAAAATATAAAAAAGTAGAAAAAATAAACGTGTAACTTATCTTTGATACCAAATGAGTTTCACAAAAAAATAAAATCTAAAAAACTAATTATTAATTTTTAAAAAATAGAAAAAAGCAAAAGCAAAAAACTCTTTATTTAGTCCCGACACATAAAAAATATATTTTTATAAGTTTAAAAGGAAATTATTAAATGTTAAAAAAAAAAAACCCAACGGACGCATGGCCACACAGTAAACACGGTACATCTGCAAATTTTATATACAGACGATAGGTTGCCTCACCATTTGCATTTTTGGCTTTCTTCAAACTTCACTCTTGTTTTTATAGAGAGAGAGAGAGAATACGTAAAGCCGTTAAATAGAACAAAAATAAAGAAGATGATTAGCAATATTTACATAGGCCAAATACTGGTGCTATTCGTTTGTAATATAATCTATAATCGTTGTAATTATGGAGTTGTTACACTACAAACTAATTATAGAGAATGTAATAAGAATGTCAAACTTTTCTTAGCATGTAAACAATATGATCAATCACACTTGTTCTATCATTCAATTAGCGCCGGTAATGGTGGTATTGTATACAACTCTTCTTAGTCAAACAGCATTATCTGCCTCATCAAATTCTGTTTTGAACTAAAACCTATACTCTGCGTATTCGATTGTGTGGTGCATCAGCAAAACTTTAGCAGGCATTCTGCTTGTCACCCTAATTGCTTTTAGAAGTGGATCAGCCGAGCTTTAGGTGGTGCAAGAAATTGTGAATGGAGATCACGAGAGATTGCCTAATAGCGAGGAGGCTTCAAAGGGGCCAACCACCCCCTCGCTCAAGAGGCGCATGGCAGCTCCTCGCGAGAACTTCCTTGCAAATAAAAAGCAGGGAACACATGTAGAGTTAGTTCGACACCACTCTGTCCGGAATTCACTCTCATAGTATACATGGTTGATATCCTGTTCAAATAAGCGGTAGGAAGTGGTGAGATATAACATCCAAAACAATGGACCACAAAAGACAAGGAGCCTAACACCAAATAAGGAATCATTCAGCATATATGTCACTTCAGAGAGAGATTATAAGATGAATAAATCACTAAGCAAAATTGAGCAATCATAAAGATCAATGCTTGACCAGCAACAAAACTGTTTAAAATTTTCAATCTTCGGTTAAAGAAGAATTCATATAAAAAGGATATCAGGTCAATACATCCTATATAACCTGTCCAACAAACAGTTTATATAAGGTAAAATAATAACCTTTATTTCCTTGATTCGTATAGGGCTTGCATCTGCATAGTTGAAGGTAACAGGATGCCAAGCTCTGTTATCCATTTTCGCAGCAGACAGATTCCACATGGTATAGGTCAGTGTTCTTCGTTCTAGCTCACCTTCAAGGTCGTTCATCTAAAAACTAGGACTAATTAGGACACAAGATTCCAAATGTAACAAAATCATGAAAAGCCATATTCAAAATGGAAGAGACCAATTTTATTTATTCAAGAACAGAATTGGAATACAACCATTAAAAGCAGAAAACATTGTGGGGAAAAACGAAAAAATGGGAATAGGATATATTAATTCTTTACCTACCGCAAACAATGTTGGCACATAATGTTCATCTGGGATACAATTGTGTTGCTTTTGAAGTTTCTGCCCAATCAAATAGAAGTTATCAATCACATCAAAGGAAACATATCAATCACAATAACTTGAACAACACTCAAATCAAGATTATGTGCAAAACAAAATAAAAGTATAACACATTTAGAAATTAAATCTCTCTACTAAATCAATGATGTAAAATAACAGAACAAAGAATGCTAAAACTGAATGTAACAAAGTTTAGCTCCCAAATTGAATTCCAAAGAGATAAAAAAGGCCCGGATCTGTCAGCCTAGTTGCATTCCTTGGGAATTGAACTCACTTACAATATTCAGCTTTCCTTTACTAGTGTCCAGGGGAGGACGTCGCTGCAAACCAAGAAGAAAATGTAAATTTCAGATTCAAGTTTCATATGATCCAATTTATGAGCAGATGATAACAAGAAACTGAGGAACACCAATAGGAAGTTCTTCATGGCATCAAATAGATGCCTTACTAGACTAGTTAAGAATAAAGTTTCCCATTTACCCTAGCCCTAATATATTGGATAAACATTTCAGTACTGTACTTTCTACTTTAGTAGATCAATCCAAAGGAGGACTCTAAATATTATTAATGCAGCTGCTGTACCAAAAGTAAAAAGAAAGTTCTAAAAAGTGATCATTTCTGTCTGAGTATTTGAAAAAAAAAAATTCAAAGGCCTAGTTGTCTAACTCTGACCAACTCCCAGTTTTATCCTAGCTTTAATTTGTTTGATAAACATTCAGAAACCCTTGCTAAGCAATTGGAGAGATCACCCAAAGAAAGCCCATATATTATCATAACATTTATGCAACAAAGCTACATGCCGAAGAATGGGATGAAAAAGATCTCTAAAAAGAGATAATTCGTGGATAGGAATATTTCATTATAACAAAAAGAGAAATTCAATTGAAAATGAACAAATAATACAATCAATTGCATACCTTGCAGAAATTCTTAAAGACTGGAAGAACAATCTCATCATCTACAATGACTTCCGCATGGCTCCTTACCAAAGAAATCCACTGCAAATAGGATGCAAGTGAAATTCAATTGACAAGATAAATATGTGTACTGTAGCTCACAGACAAGCACAATGATGATGGAAACTTGAGCAATTCATCCATTTGGCAGTTGCAATTTGACAGGGTATTAAGAGGTTCTTTTAAAAGCTATTAAGAAGTTATTCAAAATTCGGAGTCTGAGATCAATTCATCCACATTTTAAAATAGATAACCTGAGATCCTTTTCGCCACTTGCCCTTTGGTATTAGAGGTGACATTTTTGGGTGGTAACGCCCATCCTTTACATCAAGGAAGCTGCACAACAGAATTTAATGTCTTCAAATCAAAACAAGAACCAGCTTAAAACTCATACAACTTCGATTTTCTTCTTTCTCTTTTAATTAAAACCATATAAAACAAAATATAATGGAAAAAAAATTAACGCTTGGCACCTCAAGAATGAAAAAGGCCCGCCATCTACCTGTCCACGAAACTCCTAGAAGAACCCATCAGATATCTATATATATAGCTGAAGTTGTACAGAGGGACACAACTGCAAAAACATGAACAAATTGTTGTCAAAACTCTTTATTTAATTAGTTATAATAAAAACTAAAACACCAAAAAAGATAGTACTAATTAGTTAAAAAGTACAAACCTGTCAGAGAGAAGAACAAATCTTTGATTTGCTGGATCCTCTAAAGCAGTTGCAAGTAATAATCTTTCCGCCTCTATCATACTTGATTCTCCCCATACCACCTGCAATGCACGCGAGGTGAACCATTTTTATTGAGCTTAGCTTAACCAAACAAAGTTCAAATCTTTTTTTTTTTTTTTGGCATTTTCAACGAGTAATCAATCACCTGAATGCTATCAGTCAATTGCCGATTATAAAGGAAATGCGACCGCGAAGTCGACTCGTCGAACACAAAGCCAGGCGCCGAGTGTATATAAATGGAGAAATTGGCCACGTCAGCATTCTAGAAAAAAAAAAGTCCCGCATCAAAATTTGCGGAAATTCCGGGAGCAGAAAAGAGGAAGAAAGGTGGAAGGGTGTAAAAAGACAGAACTGACCTCGAAGAAGCTGCCCCATAGAAAATCAAGAGGTAGGTTAAGGCGGGCCAGGAAGAGGAAGGCGATCTTAGGGGGACCATGGAAGTTATCGCGAGAAATTTGAGATCTCGCACGGGCAGGAGAGAAAGAGTTAGGGGAAGAAGAAGCAGAATTTTCGGACGAGAAATGGAGGCGGAGTAGAGCGAAGAAGCAGAGAGCAAATGAGAGGAGGATGACGAGTTTCCAGCCAAACCAGATGACATGGCGCACCAGTACTGGAGCTGGGGTTTTCTTCGTCATGCTTCTTCCTTCAACCGATCACAACTTGTTTTAAAACAACATCATCTTCATAAATCTTATTTTTGATCAAATTATCAAATAAGATGTTTTTAGAAATAGCGAAAGGAAAGAGAGAGAGCCTGTGTTAATATCGAACGGTTTCATAACCGCTTTGAGAGAGAGAGAAAGAAAGACAGCATTTAATTAAAATTTTGTGTAGAGTTTGAATTTCTGCGTAGGCTGACCGTCCGAAAAGCCTCAACAACAGGGAAATTGAGAATGGAGTTTCTCACATACAGACCCACCGCCAAGGAAACGACAGCGTTTTGCAATTAAACTATATGGTAGGATTGGGCCTCTTTTGGGCTGATGGCCTAGCCCAATTTAATAGTCAAAAACAAACTTCGCCGGCCCCTTAATGAATGTTGAAGTGATGACGAGACGAACCAATCCATGAAGTTGTTGGGTGATGTTTGCCTCTGAGGATTAAATCAAATCTTAACGTAACAGATTCAGACAAAGGAGAGTTGGTGAGATGTCGAATTTGAGCAATTTCCACCTCGGATTAATCACACCAAATACATTGATATATGCCAGCCATTGAATGGAAGGTTACAAGAAGTATAAAATAAACATGTAATTCCAATTTTATTTTTCGTCTGGCAAAATTTCTTGGACATACGTTGATGCCCAAACCAAAGATCCAAGAACAATCCTCCAGGGACCTGTCCTGTTCCTGAAAAAACAGAAGTAAAAATGTTCAAAGCTACTGCAATAATAAAAAAAGATTTGATTTAAAACATGAAGCATTCGCACCTCTACTCTTTGACATATGAATTCGTTTGCGGGGTAGATGCTTGGCAAGTTGAAATACCAAAATGAGAATGCGAACTCAAAGCTGTTTTCTCTGTGCTTAAAAAATGTGGGCGCATGAGGATTATTGGATGCCCACCTTGACGTTTGGACGATCCAAGATAACATTTAAGATCTTTCCCGGAACAAAGATTCTCTTTTTGATCGGTTTCCCATCCAGATACTTGGAGAGTTTCTCATCTTGTGAAGCTAATGTGAAGGCATCCTCCTCTGAACATCCTTTTTCAACCTGAATTGTACCCCTAGTCTTGCCATTTATCTGGACTGGTAGTACGATGGATGATTCCTTCAAGTACGTAGGATCAGCCTGTCATTGAAGCATGAACAAGATTATGAGGTAATGACATCCCCCACCGCCCTACAGGAAGTGACTCAAAAAAGATCAGCATTTGAAAATAGATATATATGAATTGGCTCAGAAATTATACCTTAGGGAAGGGCACATACGCTATTGAATCTGGATGACCAAGGCGAGACCAAAGCTCCTCAGCCATGTGAGGTGCATAAGGTGAAAGCAACAAGACAAATGCTTCAATAATGGATTTTGGATGTTTCTCCCACTGATATATGGGGAAAAAAAAAAAAAAAAAAAAACAGATCACAAATGAACAAGTCCAAGCATCAAACAGAAAAACTGGAAAATACTGGAGGCAAACATTCTTCTAGACATCATGCAAAAAGTGATGTAACATAATGTAACCAAAAAAAAGGTTAAATAAGATTCAAAGCAAATATCCCAAAAGAAAATTTTCCAAGGCTTGCGCATTAGTGTGAGCTTTTGCAAAGTAGTAGCTAAACAACTTATGTAGGTAGATCACAAGCATGTTAAACTTTGCTTCAGCTAGGTGTAACGTAAAGCCAACTACCCCCCGGGCCCCCACAATATCACAAGGTAATTAAAAGCCAGCAAAATACTATTCCTAAACAAAAACATATCAAGCTCATCAAGAAGAGAAAATCTGGGGTGGAAGAGCCTCGAAGAGGACTTCCAACATTATTCAAGTATTCATGTCATTCATTCCATGCATACCAAAACCTTCCAACATTATTCAAGTATTCATGTCATTCATTCCATGCATACCAAAACCTTCCAACATTATTCAAGTATTTATATCATTCATTCCATGTCCACCAAAACCAGTATAAGGATTTACCTTATATAAATATTTAGCTAATCAAGAACGAGACAGAAAAAGTCAAGCTCCAATTGTTCAATGAATAAAACCTTATATGCTGCATTAATGAACTCCATCATTGCAGAAATTCCAGTGTTAAACCTTGTCCCTTCGATTTCCTCTGTCACCTGTGAGCAAAAATTAATGATCAGTTAGAAAGCTAATAAGGAATCTTAGCTGCCAATGTTCAAGTTACTTGTGTACTTCTATATTGATGAAATACCATTCTGATCACATTAAAAATAAATATGATATGATCTGGACAAGTTCCTGGGTTATTTTGACTCAAAGGCTTTAAGCACATTGTAAACCACCTTTAGTCCTGCAGCTTGTGCATACTTCTTTGCAGATAATACAACATTACCACAATTGATCAGATGTGCATAAACAAAAGTCAGAAGTGTGCAGAACATAACCTTAGCTATACATTTATGGAGAGAGCGAAGCTGTTCCATTGTAGGTTCCTCATCAGTAACCACTGTTCCATCTCTAAATGTATCATGAGGTAAAGGTGAGCCAACAATCAGCCTCCAAGTTCTTCCCAAAAACCGATGGACCCCTTCAATGCCACTAGTATTCCATGTTTTTGAGTCTCTATGAGCATAATGCAATAAAATGCAAATGTCGTGAAGGCATCATTGTCAGTTTCCCTCTTTATACATAATGATTAACATTCTAAAATAAATTCAACCAAATATTACCGAAATGGTCCCATGAACATTTCATATAATCTAAGAGAATCTGCACCATATTCAGAAACGACATCATCAGGATTGACAACATTTCCCCTACTTTTGCTCATTTTATGAGCACGTGCAATCAAACGAATGTTTGGGTTGTCTTTCAACACAAAAAATTCCCCAGACTTCACAACCTACATAAGGATGTACCAAAAATAACATAATGAAATGCCAGAATTAATAAATTCATCTTCAATATTAGTAAATAAATAAAAGAGTAGAAAGTAAAACATATCAAAACATGTCAAAGGACATACTCTTTCCTCCGGAATGATCTCTTGAAGGTATTCACCCAACTCATCAGAAGAGTCTGCAGATATATAGTTTCCATCTGTGTCTGTGCAAGCCATATATTGAACCTGCCACTCCAACCATAAGAAAAGCATTGACAGAATTATCACGATAATACGCACAAGAAAATATACTTACTTCCCCAAGAATAATTCCCTGGTTTATAACACATTTGAAAGGCTCTTTTGTTGATACAAGACCAATGTCATAGAGAACCTGATACATAGAATTAGAATACAGAAGTATCAGAAATGTGTAGAAATAAAACTAGCAAGTTTTATTCTCACTCTTAGGTAGCCCACAATTAAGTTAGTACTGCATGCCTCACTGTATCTCTACAGGAAGCTGCTAGCCATAATCACAGCATTACCCTGGCTCAATCTGGGAGATGGTAAGCTGAAAGAGAACCCGCCTTTAGGTTTAGGCTCTAAATATATTAAATTTGACCCTATGCTAGCCCAAATCAATCAGTATTAATAGCAATCCTGACTCTGTCTTTTAAGAGGGTAGACATGCTTTTCATCCAAGACAGCAATGTGCAATGGAAAATACAACAAGAACAAATGCTAAATTATGTTTCATAAACAGTTCTACATGTAAAAGTGACCCATGGCAATCATATTGCAAAGTTTATGTGCATATTGATAGACTTACCTTGTGCCAGAACCTTGAATAAAGTAAATGGAGAACAGCATGCTCAGCACCACCAATATAGATATCAACTGGGCTCCAATACCTAGAAGTACAGAGTATATTTAAGGAAAGCATAGAAACCAAGGTAATAATATGCACACAAGAAAATTTCTTAGGTTCTTCATGAACACCTGGCAATAAAACTAAAATTTCTTATAGAAAGAACTTATTACTTAAAAGATTCATATGAAAAGATGCCTTACATTTCTTTTGCCTTATCGACTAATTCATTCGAGTTTTTGGGGTCCATAAATCTCAAATAGTACCTGAGCAAAGATGGAAAAGTTTTTAATAATAAAAGACTACATTAATTTCTCCATCAAGCCAACAAAAATCTGCAAGCATTCTTATACATAGCAAAAGAGAGTCCCAAGTTTTCTGTTTCATATTCCACAACTTTAATTTTTAGATGACCTTTATTTTTCAAATTTATCTTATTTACCTTAAACTCTTCCATTCAGAGCATCTAATCATTTCCCCTGTTTATGATAAAATTGAACTAAATATGGTAATTACAGGTACTTTACCAGCAAGAACCAGCCCACTGTGGCATGGTGTTTGTTTCTCGTGTAGCAGGTTTCCCAGATGAAGGGTCTATGGTTTTAACCTGAGATAGATGAATGAATCTAATTAATGCACGATTAGCCATATCACTTGCACAAATAACAGGATAGGTTAATGAAATAACAAAAGAAACCAAGGAGTAAAAGTGTACCCAAGACACTGCTTTTGACAGTGGTGGTTCCCCTGTTCCACTTGGAGTAAAATCATCCAATTCAGGAAGGGTAAGGGGCAGTTCTGTTTCATGAACCGGAATGCTCTCACCACTATCATCCAAGAAGATGACTGGGATAGGTTCCCCCCAATAACGTTGCCTAGCAAAAAGCCAGTCCCTCAACTTGTAGTTCACCTAGTAGATAAAACTCAACTGTTTAAGCAAAGAATATCATAAATTACACATAATTATTGTCAAATCCATCCCTTTCACAAACAAACAATTTTCAGGTAAGCATGAAAAGGCACCTTTTTCTTCCCATTTCCAGTTTTCTCAGCCCACTCAATAACCTTGTAAGCAGCATCTTTGCTAGACAAGCCATTGATGTCAAGCCCTACCCTCATATTTGAAGAGTTTATAATAATGCCTTGTCCTGAATAAGCTTTCCCAGACTCAATGCAACTTCCATTATTGGGTGTCACAACCCATTTGATTGGAATATCATACTTTGAGGCAAACTCATGGTCACGAGAATCATGTGCAGGTACAGCCATGATTGCTCCTGTT